CAAACGAGCCTAGGCCGGGAAACACAAACGGCATGAGAAGGCGACTGAGGGAGGCAGAGGAGGGGGTGGAGTAGCGGGAAACAATAGCATCCCACACCCCCTGGGCTGTCTCCACCTGGTCAAAGTGGGCGGCCTCAGTCGGGGGGAGAAGCTCCGACAGTGTGAGAGCGGCGGCAGCGTCACGCGAGAGCCACACGTCCCTGGCCAGGACCCGACGGTCGTACTCCGCCTGGGCCGTAGGGGTCGGCTCCGGGGTGGTCGGCAGGGCGGCGGGGGACGGGGGGGCCTGTAGGGCACCAGACGCGTGAGCCCACAGAGTGGCGCCGTCCTGTCGCTGGCTGGTGAGGAAGCGCGTGGTCTGACGCTGCCAGGTGCCGAACTCTATCGGGCGTCCCTCCGCGTCGAAACGGAGGCGACGGGACTCCATAACGGAAGACATGCTCGAGGCGGCTGGAGCACGGCGGAGGCTGAGCTAAGAACGAGGAGGACGGCTACTGAGGGCGAGAGACGCCAGCTGGAAAGCTACGAGTGAACCGATAGCGGAGGGAGCAAACGAGGTGAGGCGGAGAACGGCTAGGGACGCCAGGGACGGAGCGACTAGGAGCTAGGGAGGATTCGGCGCTACGGCTAGCTACCGGAGGTATGAGCGGCTGCCAGCCGCTGAGGTGAAGGCCAGTGACCGGGAGAATGGGGAGGGCCCGGGAAACAGGGCGGAGGAGGGGTGAAACCGGCCACGTGCCGAGGGTAGGTGCGGATCGGGCGGGCTAGGGTGGAACCGAGGGGCGCGCGCGAGCGAAGGCGGAGGTGCGGAGGTGCAGAGGCACGGTGGGGCGGCCGTAAGGGGTGCTAAGGGGCGGGCGAGGGGCCGCGTAAAGGGGGCGCGCGGAGGGGCGGGCGGAGGGCCGCGCTAAGGGGCGCACGAGGGGCGGGCCTTGGGCCGCACTAAGGGGCGCGACGAAGGGGCGCGCGGAGGGGCGGGCGGAGGGCCGCGCTAAGGGGCGCGTTACGGGCGGGCGGAGGGCCGCGCTAAGGGGCTCGCTAAGGGCGGGCCGAGGGTCGCACGAAGAGGCGCGACGAAGGGGCGGGCCTAGGGCGGGCGGAGGGCCGCGCGAAGGGGCTCGCTAAGGGCGGGCCGAGGGTCGCGCTAAGGGGCGCGACGAGGGGGCGGGCTGAGGGCCACGCTAAGGGGCGCGCTAAGGGGCGCGGGCTAGGAGCGCGAGTGCGCAGCAAACTCGGAGGGCGCGGAGGGCGCGGAGGGCGCTAGGCGCGACGGAGGGCGCGGAGGGCGCTAGGCGCACGGAGGGCTAGGCTAGGAACGTAACTGCTCTGATACCATCTCAAACAGTGAACGCAACGGAATGATTGGAATAGGAAGGAATGGGGTACAAATAAGCAACCCTAGAAGCTGTACCCCCTAGAGTGCAACTCACTACAGCCTATCATATCAATGTTCAACATTTGACACTTGAGCCCATTAACTCGTGTCCAGTGTTGTGGTAGGTCTAGACAAATATGGTCCAAGTGATTTCTAGACCAATCAGGTAGACAACATGATTTTATTGCACTTGTACAGATTTCATGTCGGGGGAGCTGGTAGTCAAGTATCCCGCGCAGAACATGAAATAACTGCGCTTCGTCAGCACTTTTGTGGCGACTGACGGCCGAATCTCGACAAATTCGAGTTACTCCCTTGTCATTCGCTAGCGAAGTGCTTGCGGGGACCACCGGAATCCTCTCCTCGCATCCGTCCTGTTGTTGATGGTGCTCTTGTTCCACTCACCTCTGTCAAATTCCTAAACATCATAATTGTATTCTAGTACATGTGAGCATGAGTAATTGCGGGGCAGCTGGTAGGGAGGTATCCCCGCGCATAATATGAAAAGAACCGCGCTTCGTCAGCACTTTGGTGGCGACTGACAGCCGAAACTCGAGAATTTTGAGTCACTCCTTTGTCATTCGCTAGCGAAATGCTTGCGGGGACCACCGTGACCGATATTCCCTGGTCGCATCGTTCCTGCATCCTTGCTCCGAGGCCACTGATGATGCTGGATCGTCTGCCTCATGAGATTCCCGAGACCCATTCCACTCTCTGCCAAATTCCTCTCTTGACTGACTTTCTCGAGTTCAGCGTAACTGATGCTGACTTTCATGGCTTCCTCAGCTTGCCATGGCTGCTGTCGAAATCCCTCGGGGATGTTGCTTATCATAGACTACGATCGTTACTTAACTCTTATTGTTGAGTAAAGCCATGAGAGTATTAGCATATCTCGATAAGGCCGTTTCAGCATCATGTTGATCTAGATATTGATACCATTTAGTTTCTGAAGCCTGAATATAAACCGTACTGCTTAGCTCGGAAGCATGGTTTAGGTGATTCTCGGAATCTAAAGCATCTCCATCGTTCTAGTTGCCGCGAATGCTGATTCCGTTACGTTCAAGCAACTATAATTTGGTATGCTGATTCTTAACCGCTTATGACGTCTTGGTTCAGCAATGATATTCCTTCCCGATAAGGATCTCCACCGCTTTAGATGTCGCGTATATTCCGTTTAAGCTTCGTTTCGAGATATCGAATCTGTCATCGAAGAACGTCAATCGACGCTAGCGCGTTATGCAGCACCGTTCCCGATCAGCAGTGTCAGGAATGACATTCGAAGTGCTTTCAGCATCTCAGGCGATACCGGGAGCATTATCAGGCAGTCCCGTAAGCGCATTCAGACAGTACCGCCGGAAGCACGGAGTCTTAGTACCTCACCAGTGAATCTCTACGAGAGTACCCATTTTAGCTCCAAAGCTAACGTCGCTGATCCTCTAAGCGTAGCCACCGTCGCTGCTCAGCAGCATGGATTGTCGCTGCTCTGATAAGCTCCATAGCAACCGTCGATGACCCGCTAAGCTCCATGATAGCGAGTCGCTGATCCGCTAAGCTCCATAGCAACCGTCGATCATCCGCTGAGCTCCATAGCAACCGTCGATCATTCGCTGAGCTCCATAGCAACCGTCGATGATCCGGTGAGCTCCTTAGCAACCGTCGATGACCCGCTAAGCTCCATAGCGAGTCTCTGATCCGCTAATGTCCATCGCGACCGTCGCTGATTTGCTGAGCTTCGTAGCTATCGTCGCGTGCAAGAGTGATCCATGACAAGCGATGACGTTGCTGCTCACGGATGGTTCAGCCTGTGGATCTCTAGTGGCAAGGCGACCGGCGTCACGGTGACTCACGGCGACACATTTTGCAGCGAACGGCTGGCGTCGAACAGCCTTGTTGGTGGGTAGCAACGTGCGACGATCGGCGAGTGGCGGTGTTGGGGGATTTCGAATCTCGATGAGCGGGTGACGACTGCCGAACGGCGGGAGGCGAGATGGTTAAGGACGAACAGCGAGCGGCTAGCAATGTGCAACGATCTGATCGGCGAGCGGCAATTGGCGAATGGCGAATGGCGAATGGCAATTGATTCGAAAGTTGAGCGTCGTGCGAGTGGCGAGCGGCGAGCGGCGAGCGGCGAGCAGCGAACAGTACGCTAGACAGCGTGCGCGTGAGGAGGGGTGGCGAGATATGGACTGCGAGTCGCTGTCACACCGTGAGTCGCTGTGACGCCGTGAGTCGCTGTCACACCGTGAGTCGCTGTGACGCCGTGCTTGGCGCTGGTGATGAGGAGCACCAATCTTGGCGCTGTGACGACGTCGCTGGTGCGACGTTGGGGATACTGGCGACTTACGCATGCGACGGTGGCGGATGATGGCGACCAACCGCGTGCGACGATTTGCGGAATGGCGACTTACTGCGTGAGACGCTGTGCGGAATGGCGAAGAGCTGGGTGCAACGATGTGCAGAATGGCGCGACGATGTGCGGAGTGCGACGAGCTGCGTGTGACGTTGTGCGGAATCACGACTTACTGCGCGACGGTGTGCGGAACGGTGAGTTGCTGCGCGCGACGGTGTGCGGAACGGCGAGTTGCTGCGCGCGACGGTGTGCGGAACGGCAAGTTGCTGCGCGCGACGGTGTGCGGAACGGCGAGTTGCTGCGCGCGACGGTGTGCGGAACGGCGAGTTGCTGCGCGCGACGGTGTGCGGAACGGCAAGTTGCTGCGCGCGACGGTGTGCGGAACGGCGAGTTGCTGCGCGCGACGGTGTGCGGAACGGCGAGTTGCTGCGCGCGACGGTGTGCGGAACGGTGAGTTGCTGCGCGCGACGGTGTGCGGAACGGCGAGTTGCTGCGCGCGACGGTGTGCGGAACGGCGAGTTGCTGCGCGCGATGCGCGCGACGGTGTGCGGAACGGCGAGCTGCTGCGCGCGACGGTGTGCGGAACGGCGAGTTGCTGCGCGCGACGGCGTGCGGAACGGCGACGCTGCTGCTTGCTGCTGCTGCCTTGGACGAGTCACATTTAGCCTCTACGCTTCTCCTTAGTTAAGTTTCCTCTCCGCCCCCCGCCGTCCTCCAGCGCTCCCCATCCGTCTCTTTCGCTCTTGACCAATCTCAAGGCACATTTGTCCCTTGGCGCATGGTGGTGGTGGTCCATGGTGCTATGGCAGCAGAGCTCATGTAGAGTGCAGTGTAGTGGGAGTGGTGGGATATAGTGGAGAGGGAGTGCATTCATGCCATGCGTGCGTCTCCCAGTCCCCCCTCGCTGGCTCAGCTCGCTGCTCTAGTGCTGTGGGCCACTGTCGCCATGCGCCTTCCCCGTTCCCCCTCCGCCCCCCTCCCACCACTAAAGTTTCGAGTATCTCACTCTTGCTCTCTACTGCTTCTGCTCGATTGGCCACTTTGACCTGCGTTCTTCCCATATCTGAGTTTTTGCCTCCAATGCTACTCCATTCCTTGCTGCGCTTTCTGCTGCACTCATTTCCAGTTCATTGCCTGCCCTCTGCCCTCTGCCCAAGGCCAATCTCTTCGCATCTGCAGAGCAGCAGCAGAGCAGCAGCACGGCAGTCAGTATCAGTCAACGCCATTCAACTCCAGTCCTCGGCACCGCTGCCATCGCTGCCATTATGGTACGGTATGCATCCCTTTAACTGTACCCGCACTCTCCTTGCATGTGATTCCACCCTTTCACTCTTTCACTCCTCCAATTCACTCATCCGCTGTCTTCTTCGCTTCTATCTGCTACACGGCCTGATTGCTCTTCGTACTGCACTTACTGTGATTTTCCCTCGGTGAGCTGTTCAGTGCGAGTGGAGGTTCAGGGAAGTGTTATTCCTCCCACCCACTTGTCATTTTCCCTGGTTGACTTGTCATTTTCATGTTGTTGCCTTTGCCCTTCCCTTCTCACCTCGTCCCTTATTCATTTCGCTCCTTTCCTCGTCCCTTTTTAATTGTCCTTATGTCTTCTCCTTGTCTTCTCGCCCTCACAATCCCCCAGAGCAGCGGCGCTCGCCCTCACAACCCCCCATAGCAGCGCCGCCTCTCCCTCACAACCCCCCAGAGCAGCGGCGCCTCTCCCTCACAGCCCCCCAGAGCAGCGGCGCCTCTCCCTCACAGCCCCCCAGAGCAGCGGCGCCTCCTCCTCACAACCCCCCAGAGCAGCGGCGCCTCTCCCTCACAATCCCCCAGAGCAGCGGCGCCTCCTCCTCACAACCCCCCAGAGCAGCGCCTCCTCCTCACTCACCCCCCAGAGCAGGGGCGCCTCCTCCTCACAGCCCCCCAGAGCAGCGGCGCCTCTCCCTCACAGCCCCCAGAGCAGCGGCGCCTCCTCCTCACAACCCCCCAAAGCAGGGGCGCCTCGCCCTCAAAGCCCCCCAGAGCAGCGGCGCCTCTCCCTCACAACCCCCCAGAGCAGCGGCGCCTCCTCCTCACAACCCTCCAGAGCAGCGGTGCCTCTCCCTCACAGCCCCCCAGAGCAGCGGCGCCTCCTCCTCACAACCCCCCAGAGCAGCGGCGCCTCTCCCTCACAACCCCCCAGAGCAGCAGCGCCTCCTCCTCACAACCCCCAGAGCAGCGGAGCCTCCTCCTCACAGCCCCCTAGAGCAGCGGCGCCTCCTCCTCACAACCCCCCAGAGCAGGGGCGCCTAAACCCCCCAGAGCAGGGCGCCTCCTCCTCACAGCCCCCCAGAGCAGCGGCGCCTCTCCCTCACAGCCCCCCAGAGCAGCGGCGCCTCCTCCTCACAACCCCCCAGAGCAGCGGCGCCTCTCCCTCACAACCCCCCAGAGCAGCGGCGCCTCCTCCTCACAACCCCCTAGAGCAGGGGCGCCTCCTCCTCACAGCCCCCCAGAGCAGCGGCGCCTCTCCCTCACAGCCCCCCAGAGCAGCGGCGCCTCTCCCTCACAACCCCCCAGAGCAGCGGCGCCTCTCCCTCACAACCCCCCAGAGCAGCGGCGCCTCCTCCTCACAGCCCCCCAGAGCAGCGGCGCCTCTCCCTCACAGCCCCCAGAGCAGCGGCGCCTCTCCCTCACAACCCCCCAGAGCAGCGGCGCCTCTCCCTCACAACCCCCCAAACCAGCGGCGCCTCCTCCTCACAACCCCCCAGAGCAGGGGCGCCTCCTCCTCACAGCCCCCTAGAGCAGCGGCGCCTCTTTCTCATAGCCCCCTAGAGCAGCGGCGCCTCCTCCTCACAGCCACCCAGAGCAGCGGCGCCTCTCCCTCACAACCCCTCAGAGCAGTGGCGCCTCTCCCTCACAACCCCCCAGAGCAGCGGCGCCTCTCCCTCACAACCCCCCAGAGCAGCGGCGCCTCCTCCTCACAGCCCCCCAGAGCAGCGGCGCCTCCTCCTCACAGCCCCCCAGAGCAGCGGCGCCTCTCCCTCACAGACCCCAGAGCAGCGGCGCCTCTCCCTCACAACCCCTCAGAGCAGCGGCGCCTCTCCCTTACAGCCGCCCAGAGCAGCGGCGCCTCTCCCTCACAACCCCCCAGAGCAGCGGCGCCTCCTCCTCACAGCCCCCCAGAGCAGCGGCGCCTCTCCGTCACAGACCCTCAGAGCAGTGGCGCCTCTCCCTCACAACCCCCCAGAGCAGCGGCGCCTCTCCCTCACAACCCCCCAGAGCAGCGGCGCCTCCTCCTCACAGCCCCCCAAAGCAGCGGCGCCTCTCCCTCACAGCCCCCAGAGCAGCGGCGCCTCTCCCTCACAACCCCCCAGAGCAGCGGCGCCTCTCCCTCACAACCCCCCAGAGCAGCGGCGCCTCCTCCTCACAGCCCCCCAGAGCAGGGGCGCCTAAACCCCCCAGAGCAGGGCGCCTCCTCCTCACAGCCCCCCAGAGCAGCGGCGCCTCTCCCTCACAGCCCCCCAGAGCAGCGGCGCCTCCTCCTCACAACCCCCCAGAGCAGCGGCGCCTCTCCCTCACAACCCCCCAGAGCAGCGGCGCCTCCTCCTCACAGCCCCCCAGAGCAGCGGCGCCTCTCCCTCACAGACCCCAGAGCAGCGGCGCCTCTCCCTCACAACCCCTCAGAGCAGCGGCGCCTCTCCCTCACAGCCGCCCAGAGCAGCGGCGCCTCTCCCTCACAACCCCCCAGAGCAGCGGCGCCTCCTCCTCACAGCCCCCCAGAGCAGCGGCGCCTCTCCGTCACAGACCCTCAGAGCAGTGGCGCCTCTCCCTCACAACCCCCCCAGAGCAGCGGCGCCTCTCCCTCACAACCCCCCAGAGCAGCGGCGCCTCCTCCTCACAGCCCCCCAAAGCAGCGGCGCCTCTCCCTCACAGCCCCCAGAGCAGCGGCGCCTCTCCCTCACAACCCCCCAGAGCAGGGCGCCTCCTCCTCACAGCCCCCCAGAGCAGCGGCGCCTCCTCCTCACAGCCCCCCAGAGCAGCGGTGCCTCTCCCTCACAACCCCCCAGAGCAGGGGCGCCTCCTCCTCACAGCCCCCCAGAGCAGCGGCGCCTCTCCCTCACAGCCCCTCAGAGCAGCGGCGCCTCTCCCTCACAGCCCCTCAGAGCAGCGGCGCCTCTCCCTCACAACCGCCCAAAGCAGGGGCGCCTCTCCCTCACAGCCCCCCAGAGCAGGGGCGCCTCTTCCTCACAGCCCCCCAGAGCAGCGGCGCCTCCTCCTCACAACCCCCAAAGCAGCGGCGCCTCTCCCTCACAGCCCCCAGAGCAGCGGCGCCTCCTCCTCACAACCCCCCAGAGCAGCGGCGCCTCCTCCTCACAGCCCCCCAGAGCAGCGGCGCCTCTCCCTCACAGCCCCCCAGAGCAGCGGCGCCTCTCCCTCACAGCCCCCCAGAGCAGCGGCGCCTCCTCCTCACAACCCCCCAGAGCAGGGGCGCCTCCTCCTCACAGCCCCCCAGAGCAGCGGCGCCTCTCCCTCACAGCCCCTCAGAGCAGCAGCGCCTCCTCCTCACAGCCCCCCAGAGCAGCGGCGCCTCTCCCTCACAATCCCCCAAAGCAGCGGCGCCTCGCCCTCGAAGCCCCTCAGAGCAGCGGCGCCTCTCCCTCACAGCCCCCCAGAGCAGCGGCGCCTCCTCCTCACAACCCCCCAGAGCAGCGGCGCCTCCTCCTCACAACCCCCCAGAGCAGCGGCGCCTCTCCCTCACAACCCCCCAGAGCAGCGGCGCCTCTCCCTCACAGCCCCCCAGAGCAGCGGCGCCTCCTCCTTACAACCCCCCAGAGCAGCGGCGCCTCTCCCTCACAAACCCCCAGAGCAGTGGCGCCTCCTCCTCACAGCCCCCCAGAGCAGCGGCGCCTCGCCCTCACAACCCCCCAGAGCAGCGGCGCCTCTCCCTCACAACCCCCCAGAGCAGCGGCGCCTCCTCCTCACAGCCCCCCAGAGCAGCGGCGCCTCTCCCTCACAGCCCCCAGAGCAGCGGCGCCTCTCCCTCACAACCCCCCAGAGCAGCGGCGCCTCTCCCTCACAACCCCCCAAACCAGCGGCGCCTCCTCCTCACAACCCCCCAGAACAGCGGCGCCTCTCCCTCACAGCCCCCCAGAGCAGCGGCGCCTCTCCCTCACAGCCCCCCAGAGCAGCGGCGCCTCCTCCTCACAACCCCCCAGAACAGTGGCGCCTCTCCCTCACAACCCCCCAGAGCAGCGGCGCCGCCTCCTCACAACCCCCAAAGCAGCGGCGCCTCTCCCTCACAGCCCCCAGAGCAGCGGCGCCTCCTCCTCACAACCCCCCAGAGCAGCGGCGCCTCCTCCTCACAGCCCCCCAGAGCAGCGGCGCCTCTCCCTCACAGCCCCCCAGAGCAGCGGCGCCCCGCCCTCACAGCCCCCTAGCTGCGTCTCTGCTACCTCTCTCCCCCTCTAGTTGCGTTCTGCTACCTCTCTCCCCCTCTAGCTGCGTCTCTGCTACCTCTCTCGCCCTCTAGCTGCGTCTCTGGTACCAAAATCGAGGGGAGGCAGAGTCTTTGGGTGGAACTTCCCAGTGGCGAAAATTGTTTACTGGGAAAGGCAAATGTCTGTGCCCTGCTGACGAATGTTGTGGTAACTGCTGTTTTACTGAGTGAAGGGAAGGGACGGATAACGCAATGCCCACAAGTGCAACCAAGTCACACCTAGCCTGGAGCTCAATACAAAGCACTGTTGTGCGATATTTCACAGCAATACATAGTTGCTTGCAAAGCATCACACGTTGGCATGTGGGAGATGTGCTGCGCATGGGAGGAGAGGAGCAGATTGAGGCATGCAGATACCGTACTGGTACTGTAGGTACCGTATTCTCCCAGATAAAACACCCTAGGGTATTATGAAAACCACTGGAAAAAAATGGGGGGGGTCTCCTCAAAGGAAAATCCTACATAATACCCAGGTCTTATTATATGGTATATTTTTTAGCAAGCAAAAAAGCTGTGAAACAAAATCTGGGGTGTGACTTCACTTCAAGATTGTTGATCAGTGTCGCAAAACTGAGTATACGAGGATAACGTGGTTGCCCACTGGAATCTGCCACATGGCAAGTTCCAGTGGGCAACTCTGGCACCTGATAGGCTGAAAACAAAGCCAACCTTGCGTAGCGAGAGTTCATGCAACCACCGAGGCCGGAATCGCGCACGGTGCTGCGTTGTCACTGTACCAGTCACGTCTTGACTGGTTCTGTCACGTCCCTATGCCTCAAATGTGTCTCTCACCTTCACTTTGTGCAGCGGTTCCATAGCACGATACTGAAGAGTGCTCGGCAGGCTGTGAGCAGGGCCCTCACTAGGATCTAGGGCATCCTGAGGCCTCAGGGTAACTTTGCAGAATCCAAAAAAATGCCCTGATTTCTCAGGGCAATTTTTTTTTGCTATCCTGTATTTTCAGGCCTTAGTCAGAAATACATCCTGACCTCTCAGAGCAAAAAAACATAAACAGTGTCAGCCTATGCTACTGGCGTCGTGACATCGTCCGCGTTGGGCATGATTGATGCTAACGAGCGCGTGGTCGGTGGTTGGCTGGTCGGTGCGTACGCGTGTCAAGGGAAAACCAGCCCCCACCCCCCCTACTCCCCCCCCCCCCCCCCCCTTCCCCCCACCCCAGCACCCCCCCGCAAAATTCGCGTCAGGGCAATCCTCGATATTCATCCTGACTCTACAGGGCGATGTCAAAACATATTGTTATGTTCTTACTCTAGGTTGTGTAGGGTCACACCTTAGAGGGTACAACCCAACTCTCTCGACACTCTTGTACCCCCTCTCCCTCACCTAATCATCATTCCTCACCTAGCTACTAGTGATTCTAACATGGTATTAAGAGCACAATGCTCCTTAGGACCGAATGTTTAAAAGGGCCCACCACTACTATTTCGATCTACTGCCCGAGTCGCGCCCCTAGGAGAAACGCGAAATTCGAAAGCGTGCTCTAGGCGAGACGGTTCCTTTTTCTGCCCTAGACGCGATTTTCCTTCCTAGTCACGTGCGACCCCCCCTGACCGCGCCTTAGCTGCCAGTACAGCCCGCGTAGGCCCGTCGCGAAGCCCGTACAGCCCGCGTAGGCCCGTCGCGAAGCCCGTACAGCCCGCGTAGGCCCGTCGCGAAGCCCTTACAGCCTGCGCCAGGCCGTCGCGCAGCCCGTACAGCCCACGTCAGGCCCGCACCCAGCTCGTAAAGCCCGCGCCAGGCCCGCACGCAGCCCTTACAGCCCGCGCCTGGCCCGCACGCGGCCCGTGTTACTGCTGCACTCGCTGCTGCTGCTACACTGCTGCGCCTGAACTGCTGCTGCAGTGCTGCTGCCGCCTGTACTGCCCTGAAACTGCTGCTGCTACTTGCTGCAGCTGCTCCTCCTTGCTGCTGCTGCTGCTACTTGCTGCAGCTGCTCCTCCTTGCTACTGCTGCTACAGCTAGCGCTACTCACTGCTGCTGCTACTGAAGCTAGTGCTGCTACAGCTAGTGCTACTGCTGCTGCTGCTACTACCGCACTTGCTACAGCTGCTACTGACTGAAGCTACGGCTGCTACAGCTAGTGCTACTGCTGCAGCTCCTACTCCAACACTTGCTACAGCTACTATTGACTGAAGCTACTCCAGCTACAGCTAGTGCTACTGCTGCAGCTCCTACTCCAGCACTTACTGCAGCTGCTCCTGACTGAAGTTACTGCTGCTACAGCTAGTACTACTGCTGCAGCTCCTACTACTTCACTTGCTACAGCTAGTGCTACTGCTGCAGCTCCTACTCCAGCACTTGCTACAGCTGCTCCTGACTGAAGCTACTGCTGCTTGACTGAAGCTACTGCTGCTACAGCTAGTACTACTGCTGCAGCTCCTACTACTGCTGCAGCTCCTACTACTGCACTTGCTACAGCTAGTGCTACTGCTGCTCTGCCACTGTGTCCGAGCTGCGCCGCCCAGCCCGAGCTGTCACTGCTGCTGCTACTGCAACTACTACTGCTACAGCTAGTGCTACTCGGTCTACTGCTGCTGCTGCTGCTGCTCGGTCTGCTGCTGCTGCCCGAGCCGCCCTGCTACTGCTGCTACTGGAGGGAGTACTGCTGGGAGTGGTGGAGGTGCGGCCTCCCACCCCCACCGAACCGCCCTGCTGCTGTTACTACTGCTGCTGCTGCTACTTGTGCTACTGGGAGTGGAGGAGGTGCTGCTGGGAGTGTAGGAGGTGCTGCTGGCGCTGTAGGAGCTGGAGGTGCTGGACCTACTCCTGACAGTCACTGTCTGTCATGGCCACTTCCGCGGCAGTCGCTGCGGCCAGGGGTGGACAGCAGCGGGCACTGCTTCTCCCGGACGACCCCACCCCTCGGCAGCTTCGTGAGTGGGTTATTCAGCGAGGTCGTCCTGGTGGTGGAGGTTATCGTTCTGTTAAGACCGCTGCTCTTCGTGTTAGTGAGTCTGCTGCCACTCCAGGTGTTAGTCAGTCTGCTGCCACTCCAGGTGTTAGTGAGTCTGCTGCAGCTCTAGGTGCCCGTGAGTCTACAGACGCTCTAGTTGCTAGTGCGTCTACTACCACAGGTCCTGCCTCAGCTGAGGTCTTGCACACTTTCACGCTTGACTCCGGCGCGTCACGTTGCTTCTTCCGTGATTGCACCACAGTCACACCACTCACAGCACCTGTCCCAGTCTCACTGGCTGACCCCTCTGGGGGCCCAGTGGTTGCGAGAGCCTCCACGGTCCTCCCTTGTCCAGCAGTCCCCTCCGGCTCTTTGTCAGGTCTCCACCTCCCCACGTTCTCGACGAACTTGGTGAGCAACGCTGCCATTCAGGATGTCTGGGTTGATACCTTTATTCCTGGAGGGCAGCGTGTGGCGATCTGTACGTGCTCCCGGACTGGCCGTCACCTGGCTACGTTCACTCGACAGCCTGGGTCTAGTCTGTACACACTGACCACTGCGTCTGCACAGGTGGCTGAGTCAGGTCAGGTAGCTACGTCGAGTCGAGCGTCTGCGTCAGGACAGTTAGCTGCGTCTTGCTCGTGCCGAGTACTCACGCACGAGACTCAGCGCTGGCACCACCGTCTTGGTCACCCCTCCCTGCAGCGTCTGCGCCGCATGCACTCCCGGCTCCTGGTCACTGGCCTCCCTGAGACCCTGCCCCCCCTCCCGCGCTCACTTGCGCCGCCGTGCCTTCCTTGCGTCGAGGGGCGGCAGCGCGCCGCTCCTCACTCCTCCGAGTTTCCTCCGACCACTGCTCCTCTGCAGACTCTCCACATGGACGTGTGGGGCCCGGCCCCCGTCGGTGGAACGGACCAGGAGCGCTACTTCCTGCTGGTGGTTGACGACTACACACGCTACACCACAGTCTTCCCCTTGCGACGCAAGGCGGATGTCAGTGGTGTCTTGATCCTCTGGATCCGTGCTACTCGTCACCAGCTGCGCGAGCGGTTTCGGCGGGACTTTCCAGTCCTGCGTCTGCACTCTGACAGGGATGGCGAGTTCTCCTCTGGCGTCCTTGAGACGTTCTGCCAGGATAAGGGCATCGCCCAGTCGTTCACGCTTCCGGCCTCTCCGCAGCAAAATGGGATCACTGAGCGTCGCATTGGCCTGATCATGGAGGTTGCTCGTACCTCCATGATCCATGCGGCTGCTCCCCATTTCCTGTGGCCGTTTGCGGTCCGATACGCCGCGCATCAGCTCAACCTCTGGCCCCGTGTCTCTGCTCCAGAGACCTCGCCCACACTCCGTTGGACGGGACAGCCTGGTGATGCGTCGTCGTTTCGGGTCTGGGGCGCGCTCTCCCTTGTTCGCGATACCAAAGCGAGCAAGCTCTCCCCTCGCACTCTCCGCTGTGTCTTCCTCGGCTTCCCCACCGACGCTCCACCCTGGCAGTTCTACCACCCTGCCTCGCGTCGTGTTCTGTCCTCTCAGGACGTCACCTTCGACGAGTCGGTCTGTTACTACCGACTTCACCCGCACGCGTCCCACCCGGTCCCTCTCGCGCCTCTCTTCCTGGTACCAGTCCCCCCCCCGGTAGACCCCCTTCCCCCACAGGGTCCTGCTCCCTCAGGTGTGTCCCAGGTAGACCCACCCCCCTTGGATGAGCCAGTTGAGATCTCTTCTGACTCCTCTGACTCACCTGAGGGGGGTGACGCCGTCGCCGACGACACGGCGACCACTCGCCGCACTCCTCGCTTGGAGACCCCCCCGGGTTTCCCGCCACGGCCGTCTTCGCCGCCTCCGCAGCCTGCTGCTGTGGACTCTGGAGCTGAGACTACTGGAGCTGGGGCTGGGGGTGGTGAGTCCGGGGGTGCCCGCTCTCCTTGTCTGGCTACACCCCCCGGGTTCCCACCTCTGCCGTCTTCGCCGCCTCTGCAGCCTGCTGCTGTGGACACTGGAGCAGAGACTGAGGGTACTGAGCCTGG